GTTGAGAATTGCTGCGTGTGACACCCGTGCTGTTGCATTTTACAGATTACCACAATAAGATGTTTGCCCTCGATTTTTGTAGCACCTGCCCACGTCCTTCATTTCGAGTGTGCAACACATGCCCTTTTGCATGCCGGACATCGGTAGTACCGTTTAGTGACAGGAAACAAACTCGCAGCCCATCCATCCACCATGTTCATTCATTATTGCGAGAATATTACCTCCATTGAATATGGCAGAGCCATAACCAGTAGATACAGATAGCCGGCGGTGCACGATCATTGTCAGAAATAAAGGCCGCAATGTGCAGTATATTGTTGCCATTGTGTTGTGCGAAACATGCCACGTGATTTGATGCAACGTCATTCCCACTCAATGTAACCGCATTGGACGCAACTAACATTTGTGCTCCCTTCACGTTTTGTGCCGTACATTTTGTTTTACTTTATTTGTACCATTCAAGCTGCTTTTTTAATGCGTGTATTCTATGTCCCTGCCGCTTTGTCATGGCAGTGTAAACCGGTGGCTTGAATTCACATATTGGCACACACAATTATTGGAAGATGCATTCTGATTCCGTGAAATATTCGTTTCTTGTCATGCATCGTACCGTGTCAGACAGTAACAAAAGTAACACGACTACGCAACGTCTGTCTCTATATTCCATATGGCGTTTAAAGAGCAAACTGAACAAAACATTAGACCTGTGCGTTGAGTTTGCCAATACGTTTAATGGCATAAAGAGTTGTTTCTTACAGAGCATACTCGTGCCTCCTGTGAGGGGAGTGGTAGGGTAAAGGTTAGGGCGCTGCAAACCCGGAGACCCGAGCCCGATTCCTCGCCCATGGCCAACACCGGTGACGATTATCTGAAGCGATCCTGTGCGTTGCCAAAGTCGACTCACCCTCAAATGAGTACCTCGTGCAATGTGTAAACCTCTCCGAAGGGGATACAAAGGCGGTCGGGCGTGATGCTGGCCACCTACGCTCTCGTGTGCCAATGCCTGCCTTCATGTGTGCTCCCTTAACAGCACGTGCTCCCAACAGTCTGTTCAGGCTACGCCAGAGATCGTTGTCTTTTCATTACATGCTTTTATTGTCGTATCCTCAAATCTTGTAGCTCAATTTTAACCCACTTCCCAATGTGGAATCGACTGCAAACTTGGCATACTTATGTCATACTGATGACAATACTATATTATATCATTAAAAATAAAATAAACATTTTAAAACATTATTTCACGCTTTTTATAAACTCACTCTGTTGTAGTTGTATCCTCAAATCTTGTAACTCAATTTTAACCTACTTCCCAATCTTCTTGGTTCTTTCGGTAAAGTCACGTAGAAGGGAAATAATAAAAATGAAACATAATAAAATTGTATTATATATTATTTTATTCTCATTCTACGTGACTTTACCGAAAGAACCAAGAAGATTAATCCCTGCAGTCACGAAAGCTTTAGATCGAAATGTAACCACTTCCCAATGTCGTCTCGACTGCAAACGTGGTATACGTATGTCATACTGATGACAATACTATATTCTATCGTTAAAAATTAAAAATATATTTTTAAACAATCTTTTTTTTATGTTATGTTTCGGCTTGAGTCTAATTGTCCACGCTCAACTCACGTTGGCTGTAAATAACCACGGCCCCCTTACGTTGTGGGAAGCTTCGGGGCCACTTCCTGGAGTCGTGGAGTTCTGCCATTACTAGTACGGTACATTTAATTAAAGCGTGTTTTTTAAAAAGTATTTTTAAATATTACTTTTTTGCGTGTCTTTGTACCTATAAGCATATAATGTGCAGTGGTGGGTGGGGTATGTGACGAGCAAATTGCACCTCCGCCACGTTCACAACGGGGCGACTTTTTAATTCTCCACGTGTGAAGAATCTAACCGCACAGGTCGCGTGTCGTGCGAACACGGTGCAGCTTCGCTCCGTCCGTTGTCTTCCAGCCACAATGTCTGCCTCAAGGCATGAGGTGCATAAACACCACTAGTTGGCTGATACATGCCTACAATTGGCACATTGAGCAGAGTTGGGAATTTGCCACTGTGCTCATGAGTTCACGTGTGTCCGCACATTGTCACGCGAGCCTTTGACATTTCACAGCTGTTGACAATTGTTACTTAATTCCATTGCTTTCGCCTTTACTTTGTCGACACTAGCCCTGCGGAACGTGTTGTATTTACAAAGTGCCCAAATGCACCCGTATCGCGGGAAAACATGATTATCATCATCATCAGCCTGAACAGGGGCGGAGCCAGGGGGGTGACAGGGTAGACAATTGTCACCCCCGAAAAAAATCGAAAATCTGAAACATTCTGCGTATAAGTGTACGACACTCGGTCTGGCGCCCCTGATCAGCCATGGCCAATCTAATACCGATGGTCAATAGCAATAATGATAACAGGGAGAAATGTGTTTTATGGGGTCGTCCATAAATGACGTCACGCACCTGGGGGGGGGGTCAGACATTTGTGACGATGTGTAACGAGGGGGGGGGGGGGGTTGAGAAATGTGACGTGACATCAAAATGCGCAACTTTACATAAATATAGCCAACACGTTCTACTTAATTAAATAGACTTTTTAATAAATGTTTTCTCCTACATCAGAGTGCAGCGCCACATTAAATACGCACTAAAATGACAATCGTTTAAAGCGATTTGAAGCATGTTTTATATTTTTTTGGAGGGGAGGGGGGCAGAGCTTTGTGACGTCATATTTGAGGGGGGTCTGACTTTTTGTGACGCCATGTGACGAAGGCGGGAGGGTCAAAAATCGTCAAAAATCGCGTGACGTCATTAAAGGGACGGCCCCTTTGATATCTTTCATTTGCCATATTTTCAGACATCTTTTATATCCAGTTTGCAGCAAATTCACTGCTCATTCGGTCTATAATGTCGTTGTTTATTAATCATCTGAGAGTAAATTCACATTGCTTCAGTGATCACATTCTTCAACACAACACTGGCGAACTCCAGAATGGCTTGAGATAACCCGTCAGAACCGCCACACGGCTTAAGCTGGGTTTCTCAACGACTGCTTTCCAATCGATGCATCCGTTCCTTCATGCCTGTTCCTTCATGTCTGTAGAGTGACGGTGCTGTTCTTCGCAAGATTGCTGTAAGTTGTCGGTGTTATCTCTTTATGTTCTTTATGTTCGCAACATCAACAGCTAGTGTTTTTTCAAAGTTGAATCGAAACAATCTAGTTTATTATTTGTGGATGCTCAGGACGTATTGAGGCTCCTTCATGTTTGCTTGGGTCAAATTCTCTCTTGTTTAGTTTAGATGTTGTAGAATTTGCGGAGCTTCATCGTTAAATGACACCGAGCACATATTCCTAGGAGAATAAAACCAAAGAGCATGAATCATTGCAGTCACGAAAGCTTCAAATCTAGAAAGATGACAGCCTTCTATTTTGTATCCCTGGAGACCTGTTTTCCATTACAAACGATTATTTGTAGGCCTGAAATACAGTTTAAACAAGAATTCAACACGATAATAAGACAACGTTGAAAATACGGGAGTGTAAAACAAGACCTAGATGAAATAAGGTAAAACAATAAAAAGAGAGATTAAACGTATGGTAGGTTTAGTGATGAAAGTGGAGAGGTGTGAAATAGGAGCGACTCAAATCAGAGCTCCTCACGGCAGCATGATGTCCAATTAGGAACTTTTCAATCTGTGTACGTTGACCTCTATATAATGCAGCTCATTAGGAACAATGGACACTGCCAAAAGAAAAAAAAATGTTAAAAGTGTGCAAATAAGCACGGAGGAATACGTGCTTTGAATTACTTTGAGGGACAGGAAGACGAACGCACGAATTTCAGAACATATGCAACGAGGCGTCATGTTGGACTGTGTCGCGAGTAGGGAGGGTTCGCGGTGGTCGAGACTAACAACGGAATTGCAGCCAATGGAGGGGAACGTGCCCGAGCAGCCGCGCTTCGCAGAGATGGAGCGACGAAATAACTTTCATGCACTGGTGTTACACAGCAACACCAGGAAAGGATGGTGACGACTTGGGAAGGCCCTCATCGAACAGCGTATAGATCACGGCTGATAATGATCATTTCTGTGCGCGTGTTCAATTACGAACGTACGTGAACGCATGAGGCACACACTTGTATATGTACCCACGCACGCATGCATGCTAAACTTCTTTCGCACCGTACGTAGCCAACCGTGCCAATCGGAGGCGCACGCGAACTGCCGCATTGTGATGCCGTTTCGAACGGTGCAACGTAATTTTCTTTTTAGTCCGAGTTGTGTAAGTGCTGGGCGTAAGTCACTGCGACCGCAATGTCAAGTGTCGCCACGACGTCGTCGGGTTTTGATTTCCGCCGACATGGATGGTGAGGTCAGCGATTCATTCCAGTGGTGAGTGCTGCTTGACTTGCCGCGCCATACCTTGAATAAGCAAAGCCGGGCACGGGTGCTAAATAATTGTCCACGGTGAAGAGGATGACACATCGGTTGAAGAGCATTGTTCTCACGGAAGCACCGCACGTTTCAAACGAACACCGTGTTCTTCAAGGCCACGCGAACCTTTTCGATTATTAAAAAAAAAATACTCAAAAGGGGCTTTTAATATCCCTGCGGTGAAGAGTGTTAAATTTCAGTGCGTTTATTATCCTCCCGTGGAAATGGGTCCTGAAGTGACCTCTTGCGGGAGTTCTCCATTAGCAGCGCCTGTCAATGTTTGACTTACTGGCCTGGGGTGCGGATTCCCTGTGCCAGCTGTATTCAAATGAGCTACGGGGAATATGGAGCACTTAAGTCACTCTGCATATCAGCCTCGTGGCGAATAATGCATTTCCCTCAAAGCACCTGCGGGTGTTGACAGCACCGCAAACTCTACAAACGTCTCACACGTAATGAACTTCTGATGACACTTAGCGCTTAGCTTCTAAACTGCGTGAATCAAAGTCACCACAGCAACGTAGCACCCCCCCCCCCCCCCATATAATTACCCCCCCCCCCCATTCGAAATTACGTGGTACAATATTTAACACTTTTCCTCTTTCGTATGGCTGATGTAGATGCAGAGCAACAACTTCACATTCAGGTGGTGAAGCCAGATTAACCACGCCAGCAGCCAGCCGAGTGTATCGCTTCGATGTCTCTTCTTCGTATTTGTGGATTTGGCATTGCGTCGTTATACGTTGTCACGGTCTGTTCTGTACGACCACGGTCGTACACTACTGGAGAGTGTTAAATTTTCCATTTGCGCATCAGGTATTGGCATCCGCCACGGTGTGTGCAGTGGATGCGGTGTAGGGTGTGGACCATGAGCTTCATTGAAGATCAAACCCAGGGATCTTCTGTTGGGTATTTCACAAGGTGTGTGCTTGCGAGTTCTTTTTAACTCCATTCATGAAGCGATGAGCGCCGCAACCTTCCCACAAACACACGGTGAGATCGGGAGCTGAACGCACGATGGACAAAAAGCAGATTATACATTTACGCACTCCGTTTAGGGGTTAAACATTTGTTTAAGATGATTTAACATTGGCTTTGTACGGCCCCCATGATATTTTGTTATACCCCCACCCCACCCCCTAGTTAAACAAGGTCATGATAAAGACCTGCTGCCACATGAGGATCCTGTGCTTGACCAAATGATGAAAAAGATTGTGAAGGCTTGTTGCAAAAGATGAGTTTTAGATGAAAACGAAATAGGATTCAGGATGATTAAGGGAACATTTAGGATTTTAGTTTTACATTGCATATCTTCGTATCGGTGTATGTACTGTAGGTGGGAATTTCACGTGTGTTAACACATTAAGATGAATCCGAATGAAAATAAAAACATCGGACGATCTTAAATGTATGATTTTGGATATTTTGCATACATCTGCAAAACTGGAACGCATCCATAGTTTATGGTATTTCAATTTACATAAATGTAAAGTGCTGATTCAGTAGAGTGATTTTTTTGTATTTCACTCGGTGAAAACCCCATTGTGACAATTAGCCTCTTCTACAGCGAAGACCTCGGGCTGATTTGCCATATCTTCAATCAGCAGTGCCACACATGGTGTGCTGCACACAAAATCATAATTTAATGTTATCAGGAAATGTAAATGCATTGTCACATTATGTATGCATGTATACAAAACCTCTGGGTAATTGTTTTTCACATAACTTCAGTTGGCATTCAAGTCTTGACTTCATATGAGCGTGCATTGAAGGGTTAGTAAACTTACAAAAGCAAAAATGTCCGTATTGTCAATGACAATTACTGTAATATGTATTGCATGTTAAACAGCCTAAATGCAATTATTTTTTAATATCATGCTAGTTTGCATGCAAAAAATAAAATTATAAATTACACAACATTATTGCCTGGGAAATGTTCCACAATCTTGAGGGGATAAAAGCACGTGGTTAATGGGTGGTATTGCTTGAGCGATGTATTATTTATGGCGCACAATCAGTGCAAGTATTTTATTGAGTTGAGGTTTAAAAAAATAAACAGCAAGTTACCGATGGTCAAATCCACGAACATTAAACAACCTCGATTATGGATAAGACTTCCTCTGCAGCTGGGGGATTTAATATTGTCACCGTCTTCAATTACCGTAATGACCACTGCATTATACCATCCGAAGGTAATTAAGAGGGCCAAGAAATTAATCTTCATTTTAAACACCGTTCTCAATGTTATATTCGTGGAAATTACTTTCGTCTTTGCTATTTCGTGAATGTGCATCAGCTTGAGTAGGCAAAGCGCGGTGCAACATTATTGTCTTGAAAGGAATTTGAATTGTTGCGTTCATGTAACCACAGGAATTTGTATGCATGACCCTACGTCTGGAAGTTCACTCTCACTCAATTACAGTCTGGATGGATTGATATGTCGCTGTTCTGTCGGTTCATTGTAGACGATCTGTTTATTTTCCTTGATATATTGTACATTTCTTTGGATCTTTCAATGATTTAAAAACCTCACATGTCGATTGAAGCCTCAATAATTCTTCCATTAGAAATTGATAAAACTGACTTCAATCATTTAAAGCCCCATTAGCACCTTGTTGCATATATGCGTCTATAAATTGTTCACGGAGATGGGTGAGAACAGAATAAAAAAGTATAGAAGCCAATCAACCACGAGGGTTCAGGCGGGCTTTTCTACAGCTCTTTTTCTGTAGCTCTTTTTCTGTAGCTCTTTTTCCATAGCTCTTTTTCCATAGCTCTTTTTCCATAGCTCTTTTTCAGAAGCGACCTGGCCATCACAAATGATAGCTGAACGAAGTGGCTTATCACGTGGAAATTTATAGCAGCCAAATACTCTAAATGCATATTTCTAAATATAGAGGGAAAACCGGAGGAACGGGAGAAAAATCCACACAACCACGAGGAGAACATGCAAACTCCAAATATACAGGCGCCAGGGTCGGGATCGAACCCACGGCTTCCTGTATACCAGTCGAGGTAATTAACATCTGGCCACGAACATACTATTGGACTATGAATAACAAAAACGACTGCACACTAAATACCATCGTACATAGCTTTTGTAAACTACAAAAAGGAATTGTATTCATTTCGAAAATGCAGTTAATTAATATCTTACAAAGAGCCTGATATATACACAACTTATCAAAACATATAAAGATAGAACAGCTACATTGAGAATTACATGAATAAAGTCGGGAAAATGCTAAGCAGAGGAGGCAGGCATCCATCAAGGAATTATTCTTACCGTCTTTAATTTGAGATTGGGAGAAAAACTGCAAAAACTAAAAGTTGTGTGAAATTAATTCAGCTATTTACATGCACAGGGGAGAGCACACAACTCCAAATATGAAGGCGTCAGGGTTGGGATCGAACCCACAACTTCCTGTATACCAGGCAAGGTAGTTAACATGTCAGTGAAATCCATTAGACATTTTCCAAAACGATATTTGAATTGCATTTTAGTTGCCTTTTTGTGCTGATGATAAATCATTAACTTCTGCTCATTGTTCTTAATGTATTGTATGTCTTCCCATGCACCCATTCATTCACTTATTCATTGATTCATCACCTTTAATTATACATCTAATTTTGACACTTTTTGCACAGGAATGGGTCCGAGAAAATTCGATTTAACACCACCCACCTTCGGTAATGGGTGATATATAATACACCACAGCTGATTAATTTGTCCTTGACATAGGAACACGATGATCCATTCAAGGAGCAAGATGGATTCTGTACTGTCTGCAAGAGGGGTTTGTGAGCAAGCCTGCCAATCACATTGCCACGAGGTCAGGGCTGAGCTTTGAAACCTAAACGGAAAGGTAAACGAACCACCGCTGAGACACGCTTTGCAATTCCCGCCGTTTGAGATTTAGTGTGTAGCTGCTACCGACCACAAGCACATCTGTCAGTGCTTCCGGCATTCGAGGTTAAGCAACAGGAATTCAGATAAGCACTGTTAAGCGTTTGTATCAGATGCACGAATGTACCGAAAATTACACTGTAAGTTCTTAAAGTTAACAATGCCCCGGAATGGCATGTCTCGATATTCTGCCTTGGAAAGCAAGTGTTATTGTATTCACAATTATTTTACTCCACATTACCAGTGGCAAATGCCGCGAAGCGTCAGTATATTCCTTGAGTGGGGTTTTAACAGGAAAGGCCACCAGCAAAGAACAGTGAGAGGGATTGTAATTAAATAGACAAAATCAAGGATACATGACAATACACAGAGGCCTTAAAAACAAATATAATTCTTCTCATAGATATGCCTACCACCAACTCTCTAAACTAACAATGGGGAAATGAAAAGTAAACAAATAAAATAAATTTTGATTTAAAGCTTTCGTGACTGCAGGGATTCATATTCTTGGTTCTTTCGGTAAAGTCACGTAGAAGGGAAACAATAAAATAATAAAAATATAAAACATTAAAATTCTCACGACGTTTCGACTGCAACACAAGCAATCATTTTATTGTTTTATATTTTTATTATTTTATTGTTTCCCTTCTACGTGACTTTACCGAAAGAACCAAGAATAAATAAAATAATCGATGGTATTCTAATGGGGGTATTATTAGGACCACCTCCACAATCTGTTACAGAATAAGTAATGCATGATTGCATTTAGTTAATTAAAATTCTGAAAATAAGTTTTACAATTTTTACGAAGATGCAGTGAGTGGGAAATAATAAAATGGCCAGATAGAAATGCAGAGACAAAAAACAAATATAATTTCTCTCAGAAATATGCCCACCCTCAACTGCTCTCCGCAGTGAACGTGTGCTGGGGATGGTAGAGTTTTCAGGCAATTTTACAGATAAGCAATTCTTGGAGGTCATTGCTATTGCCTGGACTCGGCCTACATTGCTCTCTGGCCATAGCCACTTTCCATTCATACAAGTGGAGTGACATTGCAGATGTCACTGTCTGATGCCGGCTCTAGAAAGGCATGGCGTGCAGTGTATTGACATCACAGGCACCACGTGTATGGGGATGCAGTACCGGCCCTAGAGGGGCTCAGGGAGCACTGACTGACAGTGATAGATGGCACCACGCTCTGCATACAGTGCCGACCCCTATAGGATAGGGTGTGATGGTGCCGGCCACGGGAATGGGGTTACCGAAGGCCGCGGCACTCTGAGTCTGCACAGGGACCCCCAAGTGGGGGGCTGGGGGCGGTCGCGTGTCAGGCCGAGAACCCGCTCGAGGGTTCTCGAAGGTGGTCGTGGCCAAGAGCGGAGCGAGCCCCGCCACGGAGCATATAAGTCGGGTCCCCCAGTGGGACCGGCTGCTGTTGTTATCCTGAAGAATCTACGTTCGACGTTCGACGTCCGAGAAGAGTTGACAACACGTGGACCTGGAACCAAGCTGGGGTCCTGTCCGTTGTTGCTACTCCCAGTGTAATTAGTGTAGTTAGCCTGGTGGTCCACCAGCATAGCGTGTAGTAAGCCTGGTGGTCCACCACTATGGTGTGTAGTTAGCCTGGTGGTCCACCAGCATAGTGTGTAGTTAGCCTGGTGGTCCACCACCATAGTGTGTAGTTAGCCTGGTGGTCCACCACCATAGTGTGTAGTTAGCCTGGTGGTCCACCACCAAAGTGTGTAGTTATCCTGGTGGTCCACCACCATAGTGTGTAGTTAGCCTGGTGGTCCACCACCATAGTGTGTAGTTAGCCTGGTGGTCCACCACCATAGTGTGTGGTTAGCCTGGTGGTTCACCACCATAGTGTGTAGTTAGCCTGGTGGTCCACCACTATGGTGTGTAGTTAGCCTGGTGGTCCACCAGCATAGTGTGTAGTTAGCCTGGTGGTCCACCACCATAGTGTGTTGTTAGCCTGGTGGTCCACCACTATGGTGTGTAGTTAGCCTGGTGGTCCACCACCATAGTGTGTAGTTAGCCTGGTGGTCCACCACCATAGTGTGTAGTT